ATGAGTTCTGGGCGTTTTCCATACATAGCATTTCCTCTAACATTTAATAGCTACAGTAAGTTGTGAGAAGTGGTAATGCTTGATCAATAAATTAGCAGCTTGAAATGCCTAACTTTATAATGCTCATGCCTATTGCTCAACTCATTTTCCTTGCTGCTATGATCCATTTTAAGTGCACTAGAACTATTGAATTGAAAAATGAGCATAGTTGTTATTAATTTTATAATAATTTCATTTGACTAAAAGTGACAGTTGTTTGTAGCTTGCACTGAGGTTTTTAATTTCCTTAAATGTGGCTAGGTTCATACACTTATAACATTGCTATGTTGTTTGTAGTGAACTGATAAGGAATATCTCATCATTATTTTGTCTTGGATCTTCTACAATCAATTTATGTTAAGAAAAATGCCCATACTCAACTCAATTTTTTCTCTTCTGTTCACAGTGGGATTTACATTTCCACAATTACCAACTCATTTGCATTTGTGTTATTGTGTAACCGTAATTGCAGGAGAACAAGGACTACAAATATTTTAAATATAAAGATACCAATGAGATCTAAATTTGATATCATCAACTTTTTGGCGATAGTTATGACGGTGACAAATATGCAATCGGCAAAGTTATGTCCACGGGTTTCTATTTGTTCGAGGACAATACACTTCAAAATCACAAGGATGCAATCCCTGTTGATAGGGAGAGTACTGGTTCGAGTGATGAAGGAGACGAAGAGAAGTGAAACTCCAGTGTGAATGTTTCCAATGCTAGAAGTTGCAAAAAAAGGAAGTCAGCGACGATTTCGTAAAAGGGGAAGAAAAAGAAAATTTCTACTTGGGAGTTGTCATTTTCCATTGATCGGGCAAACTGTGCCGTCGAGGAAGTGGCAACGAAGATAAATACCATTGTGGCACCAACTGAAAATGCCGGAGTTGACTGCGTCGAAGAGTTGCTTGCAGCTGAGAGACTCCAGCGACGAACCCCTTCCACTCCCCCCGCGTACTTCTACGCATGTACGCTCTTGCATAGAAGCTTTATCGAGATATTCTTAGCATCATGCGAGATGCTGATGAGAAATTTGAGTAGATTGAGTGACAGTTTAATGAGCGCAACAAATAACTCCATTAGTGATACTACCAGCTCTAGTACTTGTGTGGTTCTCTTATTTTTCGTTTTTCCCCGTAACAATTACAGTTTTTTGTACCTGTACCCATGTACGTTGACATTCTTTTCCGTTTCATACGTGATTACGCTGTTTAGGCTTGTTTTAAAATTGTTCACTTTATTTCTGACCAC